CAGCTTGTGCTAAAACGTCCTAACCAGAGTTGTGTTTAATGTTGTTGTAGACACTGCTGGTGAGGACTGAACATGAGTTGCATTGAATTATTAGCATCTTGCATATTATTTTGTGAAAATTATACCCCTCATAATAACTGAAGAATTTTAAATCAATGAGTTAAAACATTTCATTTTCTTGAGGGGTCAATAAAGTACTTTAGAATGAAACAATTTGTTTGCCATGACCCCACATAGCTGCTAGAGTGGAATAGTTGTTACTCATCTAACTACGTTCATTTACATTTTTCTGAATCAACTAATTAAAGAAGTCTCTGTGCTCCCTGCTTTAACACAGCAGCTGCTTACTGTGTAAACTATTTATCGGCTCACGACAGTTTGAAGCTGGTAAACCATCACACATCACCAACGTCAGGCTTGTGTGAGGCTTAATGATACAGCATATGCGTAAACTGCCAAACAACAATGCATCCTAATAATGCACGTCCTTTTGTACTCTGCAGCTAATGAGATTAAAAAGCCACCACTCTGCACTGCTGCTTGTTGCTTCAACACAAGTCAATGTATTTAAGACACTTTAAGCATCATATTATATCTGAACCCATAATCACTTTGTCAGGCTTTTTGTCTCAAGGTTTAAGCTGCATTACTGGATTATCAGCGCCTGTACTGATTGTGATCTAGCTGGGAATTAAAGTGTGTCTCAAAGTATAATAGTTAGGGTTTGTTTATTGGAGCAAGAATTATTAGTGCTTTTCTTGTTAGATGTGGCACGTTTACAGAGATCTGTATTGTTCTTTACATGAAACAGTTTTAGGTAGTCCTGCCTCAGATTCCCAGGTTAACACTGAGTGGCTGTGTTGTTCAGTTTTTATTGTTTTCTTCATTTGACCAGGTAAAACCAGATCTTGAATATGAGATGTAGTTTCTCATTTTCAAGAGGGAAACAGGGAGAAATCTGCAGCACACAACAACCTGGTCTTAATCTTAAACTTCAATCAATAATCAACCAGAATTTCAGCTGAATGTGATTATAAATGTCATTTATATTGTATTTCTCTAATAAATATTGTTTATTTTATTATGATTTCCCTTGATTCTCTGAGAAACACAAAAAATACAGGAGGCTTGTTTATTCAAACTAAACAATCTTATCTCTGACCAGCAAAAAGAATTGAGATCTTTATTTAACTGAACTGAAATAAATAATCTTCTTGTTAGAGCTTCATCTTCAGGTTGCTTTAATAATTGTTATTGCTGGACAGCAGCAAATTGTTATTGCTGCTGTCCAGCAAATTGTCAGCAGGACAACCTGAAGGAAAATATCAGTCTTGTCCACTATTTATGTGGAAAAGGAAGCAGATGTCGCTGTTATCGCTGCTACAGAAATTCATTTAGTTATGTTATATTGATAACATAACTCCCAATAAATTTTTGTTTCCTGTTGATTTTGACATTTCTTCTTTAGCAAAGAAATATAAAGTAAACACTAAACCTAGCAGCAGTCTCTGAGTAATTGTGGTTAGTCAGGCTACCTGCTCATTTACTCTGGATGTGACCAGCTGCTAACAGTTTCCCAACTGTAGTTTTAAAACAGTTAGCTTAAGAGTGGTAAGAAAAAGAAAAACACAGAGAGGAAGCGCTGTGACGGTCTGTCAGAGGCAGAGGAAACGGCAGCAGATTTCAAACTTTAGTAATTAGAGCACATGAAACTGGAGAAGGTCCATGTTTACTATAACCTGTCTGAGTTAGGAACAGATAAATAAATCTATTAGCAGTGATCTAAAGATACTTTTCATAAAATTTGTCACATAATTGCTGCAATTAGAAACAATCCAAACCTCACAGACTCATTGTGCTAAAAACCTCTTCACAGAACATTCTGTGATTTTTATAAAAAAAAATGTTTTTGTTGCTCTCATCATAAAACAGCAACCTGCATGGGAAACGCTTTCTGCCCATATATAGTCAGCTCACTCCTCCTCTGTCTGATACATGATGGTACCTGAACGCATCCCAACTGTTTCATCAGAACCAGCAACTGCTGGAGGATCCAGACTGGGACTCCCATAAAACTCCCTGGTTCTGGTTGTCATTCTTAGCTTGAATGTTTTCTCGAGCTCAGCTTTCGAATCATCAGGTGTTGAAATGATGAAGTAAATATGACAGATCAATGTGTATTGCTCAGTGTTTTCTGCTTCCTGCAACCTCCTGTTTCTGCCTCAGAATCTCAATACAAAGACTTGATCGTATTAAAGCTTATCCTCTCATTATTGAACAGGGAGCCTGATCAATATGACTGAGTTCAGACTAAGCATATTAGCTGAAATGGACCATGACCTCATCATGTTACTCAAGTGCTCCTAATTGGTAATAGACAATAAAAATATGTATGTATGTATGTATGTATGTATGGATGGATGGATGGATGGATGGATGGATGGATGGATGGATGGATGGATGGATGGATGGATGGATGGATGGATGGATGGATGGATGGATGGATGGATGGATGGATGGATGGATGGATGGATGGATGGATGGATGGATGGATGGATGGATGGATGGATGGATGGATATTGTCCCCATGAAAGTGATCAAAATTAGCTGCCTTGTTTCAAATCTTTTAATAATTTTATTATAGTATTTTTTTTCAAGTGTCAAATGAAATGCTGAATATAATTTTTACTGTATATACTGTTGCATGGACAGAGGGGGTGAGTTTATTTTTGTAGCTTGTTTCTCAATCAAAAAGGTGATGATATTGTACGCTAATTGTACACTTTAATTAGTTGTGCTTTCTCAATAAATATATCTGAAAGCCAAGCTGTTAGAACCACATCGGGGGAGTTGGGGGGTCTTGGAGGTAACAGAATTGTGAGATCTGTAAAGTCGTGCTTCACCAAAATAGCTGTTTGGGTGAAGATGCTTCTTCCTCTTCATCCCGTCATCTTGCATGTGTCTGGAGCTTCTTCCCACCCTGCATCTTCTGGATCAGTGCTTACTGTAGGTGCGGCACACAAAGATCCTAATCTGTGACATTGCCAGTGGAAGTGGCACATCAAGGATTTGCGGAGTGTGAGATTAGTGCCCTACGTCGTCATAAATCTCTGCTTCCCAATTCGGCCGGGTGGTGGCGGGTGGGGCAGTTGCTAGGTGTAGTCTGCGCTCCGTGGATTTGCTGGATCAAATGTTTGTTCTTCTTTGGTGCAACTTGATGAAGTTGGGTTTTTTTTCTTTTTTCTTTTTTTTTTTTTTGGAGGTTGAGGATGGATATTTAATTTATTTAGCCTAATTGGTTGATCCTACCTGGTTTTTAACTCTAAAGAGATTCGGGGTTAGTTTATGCTGCTCTGTTGCTTTTCATGATGAACTACTGCATACCGGACATGTATGAGATGCCCCACGCAGGGGTCGGGGGCTACGCCGTTCAGGGTGGCGGGGAGCATTGCATGTACCCCGGGGAAGGCGCTGGATACGGACATTACGAGCCCCAGCCCCTGCATCACCCGCCCTGCACTGAGCAGGCCTGGCCCCCCGGCCAGCACTACTCCTGCTCCTATGCTGCCAGCCCTTCCTCCTTTAAGAACGAGTTCTGCAACATGGAGGTCTCTCTCAGCCACTTCCACCATCAGCCTGAGTATTTTCCTGAGATTAAACCTGATTATTCACATCTGCAGTGGATACAAGGGGCCCACAGAAAAGGTATGGCATCTGGACCTCTGGGTCAAAATAATTTGTGTGACTGGAGTTGACTGCTGCATGTCCAAATCCATATGTTGCATTGATTAATCCAGCCTCCAGGAGCTAGTTTGATTAGATCTATGTGATTGTTAGTGATGACTCTGTAGTGATTTGTGAATCGATGCTGTGTGGCTTTTTTAAATTAAGTGTGATCAGCATGAAGCCACAACTCCTTGCATCCCACAGTGGAAACTGGCTCCACAGGATTTGACTGAGGCGAGTTTAGGTTCTGTATTGATTGATGCTGAGGCAACAGAAGGCTGATGTTCAATTCATTATTTCTTTTTTTTTTTTTTTTGTCTTTTAATAAAGGCCTAAATAGATATTGATCAGTTTGTCCACCTCCGATCCCGAGGACTGACCGGCTCCAACCTCTGATCTCATTAGAGCCAGAGCGAGATGTTAACGAAGTTAGTTGGAAGATTACTTTGGAAGGAAAAAACTAATCTGGGGCTGGGATTCTACATAACAACACATTCAACATGATATGTCACTCAATAATGTGTGTCTTTCCGTGTGTGTGTGTGTGTGTGTGTGTGTGTGTGTGTGTGTGTGTGTGTGTGTGTGTGTGTGTGTGTGTGTGTGTGTGTGTGTGTGTGTGTGTGATTTAAAGTCGTTTCATCTTGATGTCTTTACATTTCTTCCACTTTTGTCATTATAAATCAGATAAAAGCAAATCAATCAAGTTAAGACCTAAAATGAGAACTAGATTTCTATGGGGATAAAAATGTGAAATCAGAGGATATTTAGTTACATTTAACTTCAGTTTGAGTAATTTTTTTAAATTAAAAGTTACACTGCAGCTTTAAGTAGTGAATATGTTAATATTTTCTTGAGTATTTACAACTAAAACATTAGCCAGTTCTTTTGAGTCTCAAATTAAACTTTAAACCATTTGAAATCTTCAAAATGAGTCAACTCACAATAAACAGACTCATTCTGCTTAAGAATTTTGCTTTCACTACTTGAAAGTAAAATTTCAAGTACTGCATTTTACTTGAAATTCAGTAAAATCTTGCATCTCAAGATCTTACTGCCTTGATCAAATTGTCTAAGCATATAATTCTGCATTTCTCACAAAGAACTACTGTAAATGAATAAATGCAGATATGCCAGCAGTTCTTTTGCATCACTTGTGCAGCAGATCAGCTCTTCTGGATCTGAAAAACAGGAGCTTCATGAGTAACTGTTAGATATTCTGTGCTTTAAATATAAACACAGTAAAGTGTGTCCCTACTCTGTATTTCTGTCTGCAGGTTACATACCGAGCTACCTGGACAAGGATGAGCTGTGTGTAGTGTGCGGGGACAAAGCCACAGGTTACCACTACCGCTGCATCACATGCGAAGGCTGCAAGGTATCGTGACGGGCCTTCTGGTTGTGTTACGCAGCCTTAGCTGTCACTGATCAGTCCTGATCATCCAGCCACTTCCTCTGCAGGGGTTCTTCAGGAGAACCATTCAGAAGAACCTGAACCCGACCTACGCCTGCAAGTACGAGGGAAAGTGTGTCATCGACAAGGTGACGAGGAACCAATGCCAAGAATGTCGCTTCAAGAAATGCATAGCGGTAGGAATGGCAACAGACTGTGAGTACATTAACTCTATTGTTTTTGTTTGTCTTAAAGTGTATGTGTGTGTTAATAGTTTCTTAACCTATTCATCTTAAATCCTTTTAAAACCCAGGGGATGTGTGATAATCTGTACTCTAAAACCTTTGTTTCAAATAATCTGCACAAACTGGACATGTGATGTCATTTACACACACTGGATGTTTCTTTTAAAAAAATGTTTCACTGTACCATAATGTTATTATAAACCCAAACTGCATTCAACACTTGATATTTTTTATGCATTTTCCATACAAATAAAACAAAGCTATTTAGCATGGTGAATATTTCCATCCTGAATGCAAAAAAAAACTTTTATGAAACAATATTCAATTAGTACATCCACTTTTTTCATTCAAATATAGTTATTTCTGCTAGTATTTCATTTTAAAAAAATTAAATTTTCTGATTATAGCAAATGAAACATGACATTTAAGATCAGAATAAATCACTAAATAAAAACTTAACAAAATACTAGCTCAATTAGAAGAAATATTCAAATTATTGATTATTTAATGTAAAAAACCTAAACGTTACAGAGCTCTAATTCACAAATAATGTAATGTAACTAACAAAGACAACCCTCAACATGAAACCTACTTATAATCTAAGCAGTAAGAAAAACTTTATGAAATTGTAATTCCACTTCTCTGTTGTTCATTAGATCAAAACCCAACAAAGGAAATTCAGTTTAAATTATGAATGTCCATATTTATTCATTTCAGAGACAAGTGAACAAGTCTCATAATTCGTCTGTAATAATAAAACGTTTGCTGGTTGTGAATGCAGAGAGTGTGTAAGCTTTAGGTTGTGTGCTGATTTGTAGCCAGCTGAGTCACTGCGCTCTGCCCCCCCCTTCCTGTCTGCTCTCATCATCCCCGTTCTCCGCCGCTGCGCTCGGCTCTAGTGGTTCTGGACGACAGCAAGAGGCTGGCCAAGCGGAAGCTGATCGAGGAGAACCGGGAACGCCGGCGGAGGGAGGAGCTGCAGAAGACGGCGTGGGACCGACTGGAGCCCACCCAGGAGGAGTGGGAGCTCATTCGCCTGGTGACGGAGGCCCACATGTCCACCAACGCTCAGGGCAGCCACTGGAAGCAGAAGAGGAAATTCCTGGTGAGACTTCCCCCCTCCCCGATGCCTCCCTTTTCTTCCTCACCACAGCCGTCGTTGCATTGATTTACTCTGCCACATCCGAGCCCCCAGCCCAATTACAGCCCTGTTCCCCCTCTGCCTCCACAGCCAGTGTTCCACTGCTCCCTGTGTTAATATGTCCATGTGTTGTTTTTGTATCTCCTTGTAGAGGAGGTGAGGAGAGTTAGCTGGACGAAGGAGAAAAGTGTTCCTGAACGCAGCAACACTTATTTAAAATGGAACATCTTACTTTTGTCATGTTTTCTGTCTCTAAGCAAAATCCTTTAACCACTGCTACTAATCACTCAATTTTACTTTTAAAGTTATCTTTTGTTGTCTTTTTTTTTCTCTCTCTCTTCTGCAGCTTTTGATTTTATGCTTCAGAGCTGTTTTTGTTGTTTTGTTTAATAAATGTGCTTTTTTTCTGTTTAATCTAATAATTCTGCTCAGATTAAGTTCGTCTGCTGGGAATTTCATCTTGAGTTTCTGTGGCAGGATTCAACTACGTTTTTATAGCATTTATATATTCAGTCCCATTTTGGTTTTGTTCTAAATTTAAATATTCTTATCTAAATATTCTCATGTCACTCATGGTTAAAACCATGCTTGTATAAAATTAGCCCAGTTACAGTCATATTAGTGACTCTTGTTAAAATTAGAATGCAGCTGTATAAAGGAAACTTCCGTGTTTTACACCCACCACAGAAACTCAGCTGGAACTTCTTCACCTTTGTGCCTGTTTTCTGTCTGCTCACCTTTCATCTGTCCTCAGTTTAACTTGTTTTCTTCTTAGTTGACTTGACACGGGTTCTTCATTGAAACTTCACGATTCCTGTTGATCATCCAACAGGTCGAGGAAGCAATGCTTCTTAATGAAATAACATGTAATTTATTCTATACTTCTGACCAGAGTGCAGCAGGGGTGAAGGACACTAAGGTAAGAACCTGCAGCTATAACCAATAAAATCATAACAGGTCCCCAAACTAGTTTCCCAACATCGACACATGAATGTTATTTGAATAAAACACAAATCATAAAATATGTAAACTGGATACTTTTTCCTGTTCTCTGTCCTCTAGCCTGAGGATTGTGGTCAAGCCTCCATGGTCAATGCAGCTGAGGAAAATAAAGTGGATATTGAAGCCTTCAGTCAGTTTACAAAAATTATCACCCCTGCCATAACCCGAGTGGTGGACTTTGCCAAAAAACTGCCAATGTTCTGTGAGGTGGGTGTCAGAGGCGAGAGCTCTGCTGCCAGTCAACACGGCAAAAAGCTGATCCAAAATGTTAACAGCACCAAGAAAAAGCTGGAAATAATTTGGACACTTTTCTCAGTGTCAAAGTTGTGTAACTAAAGAATATTGCAAATATGTTGTGTTTTTTCTAAGTAAGCACCAAAAAGTGTGTTATTTATGTTTCTATAATTATGAAACAATATATATTGTAATATTATAAATATTGAAGTTCCTGGAAAGAAATCTTGTAATCTTGAAAGCTTAAATTACATAATTCATATGATGACTAGTATTAATATTCATTGTAATTTGCATGATAAAGCAAATTCTACAACTTTAGTCTTTAGCTGTCTTAAGTTATTCCTTCCTTAGTAGGTAACACTAATGCTAATGCTGTTAGCATCATGCCACAATTTATATTGCTAACTTTGAGTGACTTGTCTGTGGTCAGTGTTGAGTTTCTCTCCCTTTGTGTGATTGTACTCTCTGACAGTCATTAACATTCCGTGGTCTGTGTGTGTCCTGACGTTCCCAGCTGCCTTGTGAAGACCAGATCATCCTGCTAAAAGGTTGCTGCATGGAGATCATGTCGCTGCGAGCAGCCGTACGCTACGACCCAGACAGCGAAACCCTCACGCTAAATGGGGAAATGGCAGTAACTCGAGGTCAACTGAAAAACGGGGGACTGGGAGTGGTGTCGGATGCCATCTTTGATCTGGGCGTGTCGTTGGCCTCCTTCAACCTGGACGACTCTGAAGTGGCTCTCCTGCAGGCCGTAATCCTTCTGTCATCCGGTAAGCCGGATGAAAACCAACTGCTCTGCTCCTCTCCTGTTTTTATTCTTGACCACATTATAGATGTTTTTATGTTAATCATTAAACTTTAAACCAGCAGATTATTTGGTTCGTGCTCCGTCCACAAACACTGACTATTCTCCATCTCCTGTTGCCAGCACAGATTGAGTGAATACTTGGCTTTGACATGAAATCCATATTAAACAATCAATTAATTAACATAATCAATGTGAGGAGCTTTGTCCAGCTAGCTTGGGTCTGTGTGCTCCTCAGTGAAGATCAATGCTGCTCATGCAGAACGGAGGCGGGGCTAAGCTACCCTTCTGTTCTGCTCACTGGAATCGTTTCTCGTTTAATATGAAACACATCACAGCTTACATTTTTTTCTATTATATAATGTTCCTTATTACTTCCCACATAAAGACAGCAGCAAGTATTATAAGCAATCAATGGCAGTAAAATATTGTAACATGGAATCAGTACATTAGTGTAAAAATCATTTCTCATGTGAATTAAGAAAAACAACTTTTAATCAGTGCCTACAGGATGCCGCCAGGCATAAAATCACCTTTTTCAAAAAGTGGCAATCAAAGTTGCAAATGTTTTGTTTTATTTTTGCCCTAACATGGTCCTGCAAAACAGTTGAAATTTCTGCACATGACCTTCCTGAGAAAGAAGGAATCTAAACTTGGATTTTGGGAAGAAAAGGATTTGCACATTTTCAATGCTATTTGAAAATGTGCAAATAACATTTTCAAGTATCTTCTAGAAGCAAGTCAAAGCATGTCCTAAGGACATGCTTTGACTTCAGGACATGAGGTCAAATCATGGTGAGGTCCTGAGGTCAAATCATTTGTGCTTTGAATTCTTCAAAGTGCAAATGAAGAATTCCATGTGGGTCACTCAAGTTAACATGATCTGTTCACAGAGCAGGACCAAATCATACAAAATTGTTTTGCAAAAAAAGGCAATTGTTAGCTCTTAGAAATACACAAACTCATTTAAGATTCTCTGCTGCCTCCTGGTTGTCATAGTAACTGTGGTTGTGTGTCCAGATCGTCCAGGCCTGACCAGCGTGGAACGAATCGAGCGCTGCCAAGAAGAGTTCCTGCTGGCCTTCGAACATTACATCAACTACCGCAAGCACAAGGTGGCGCATTTCTGGCCCAAGCTGCTGATGAAGGTGACGGACCTGCGCATGATCGGCGCCTGCCACGCCAGCCGCTTCCTCCACATGAAAGTGGAGTGCCCCACCGAGCTGTTCCCTCCGCTCTTCCTGGAGGTCTTCGAGGACTGACCAACGGACGGCAGTGTATGAGTGTGTTTGGACTGTGTGTACATGCGTTGTCCAAAGCCTGGGCGCCCTGGTGGTCTCGGGGGCGGTACCAGCCGGAGGCCCGTATCCCTGAACTCTCTGATAGCACTACTGAGTGTCACTTCATTCCATAGTTTAGGACTAGCTCCCTGGTCTAGTTTTGGATGAAACCATTCCTCACATTGCGGGTACATGTGAATAGCCTTTTTTTTTTTTGGTTTGTCGTTATTTTTGTGCATATAACCTCTCACCTCCAATTTGACTCTAGTTTTTTTTTCTTTCTTGACAATTGTACAGTTGGCATAATGGTGATTTTATTAACACCTGTTTGAACGTTAGAAACTAAAGAGATATTGTCTTTTTTTTATTTTTTTCTTCATGCTCTTCAGAATCTCAGTGAAAGTTGACCTGATGCAGAAAATCAGGGAAGCTCTGATGGGTCTCCCTTTGGTTTCTGAATCACACTGTCTCTTGACTCACTCCAAAACCCAGCTGCTCATATCAAATGAAACTGCGTCCAGAAGCTCTCAGAAAAATCAGAATTTTGGAAGCAGGCAGCCGCTGCGTCGCTGAGAATGAGCTGCACAACCCCCACCGTTCTGCTGCACACTGCTAGGGAGCTGACTGAAAAAAAGCCTGCTGCATTTTTCTCTCTTTCACCAGAAAAACAGATGAAACACGATAAAGTAGCTGGTAAACATGCATGAAGTCTGTCAATCAGCTCCTGCTGTTATTCTATAATAAGCAGAACCAAATGTTCTGTTCTGCACAATTAGCAATTTGTATATTTCTTATTTAAAGTCACAGTCTAAATAAAAACAAACAACATCGTCGTAATATACCAGATTACGTTTGAAGCAGTTGGAAATATTTTTGCTACAATGTTTTAAAAGAAAATAGTTTTTTGCTTGTCTTAAGAGCCTGAAATGTTTCTCTGGTCGATCTCAGATGAGGCTCCATGCAGTGAGAAAAGCTAAACAATGTACAACATCATTTAGAACGGAATGTGTGAAGCATGAGTTGTTTGTTCATTCTGGTTAGATTTTTGCAGAGCTATATTTTTGTAACACAAATACTCTAACTAGACGCTTAAAACACTTTGTGACAATCTGTAACAGCTGGGAAAACAAATCAAACTAAGGTGCTAGCTCTCTATTTCAGGGAAGATACCGAGTACTCATAACTTTTTAGCAGATCCCCACAGTAAAAAATGCGAAATTTGAATTGTTACATTTTTTTGCAAAAATTTTAATCGCCTCTGAAGTCAGATTAAACTGAAACAAGCTGATCGAATGGGAGATTCAGACTGAGCTGACAGCTGAGGGAACGCAGCAGCAGATGCAGCAGTAGATGCAGCAGCAGATGCAGCAGTAGATGCAGCAGTAGATGCAGCAGTAGATGCAGCAGCAGATGCAGCAGTAGATGCAGCAGTAGATGCAGCAGTAGATGCAGCAGTAGATGCAGCAGCAGATGCAGCAGTAGATGCAGCAGTAGATGCAGCAGCAGATGCAGCAGCAGATGCAGCAGTAGATGCAGCAGTAGATGCAGCAGCAGATGCAGCAGTAGATGCAGCAGTAGATGCAGCAGTAGATGCAGCAGTAGATGCAGCAGTAGATGCAGCAGCAGATGCAGCAGTAGATGCAGCAGTAGATGCAGCAGTAGATGCAGCAGTAGATGGAGTGTTAAACTGCTCCTCATCCCCACAGACTGGTCAGGAATAACAAACAACCTCACTGCTGACCAGAACCACAATCACTGCTCATCATAGGGAATCTGATTGTGCCAAAATAAAATGCGTCACCCCTAAACCCGTATCCCCCCACATACACACACACACACACATTGAAATTATTTCTTAGATATTAAGATGGTGAATATTATCATATTTAATATCTTGTAAAATGTGACGGGGACAGAGAGTGAGTCATGTTTCAGTGAAGATCTCATCCATGGTGATCGGCTCTCTCATCCAATCATGTCAGTATTGTTTTCTTTTCATTTCCAGCTCTCTGTAATCACAACACTGTCAGCTGAAGCAGTGATGTCATGGTGCTATAATGGTGAAATGAACAGAGTTTTTATTTCCATGTCTGAATCGCAGTTTGGTATGCAGTGACACACATGTACTCTATAATGCAAACATAATGTCATATACAGCACACCTGACACCTCCACCAATCAGCCATAACATTATGATTGTGTTAGCACGCTGTTCCTTCCAAAACAGCTGCGCCCCGTTAACAGGTTCGCCATCAGTGGCTCATGGTTTTGCTCTAGATTATCTCTAACATCATCAAATGTTCAGTTGGACTGAAACCGGGCCAGAACCTCCAAGAGGGAAAGGAAAATACTGCAAAAATACAAAATATTACCAAGTAGTTTTGTCTTGTTTTTAGTGCAAATATCTCTAAAGTACACTTGAAGTAAGTCAAAACTAACTTAAAAGTAACATTTTAGCAAGGTAAAGGACTTTCTTACATATAGATTTTAAAAGTTATAGTTCCACTGGCAGATTTTCCTCACAACTAACCAATGTTTGTTTGTTTATTTATTTGGATCCCTTCAGCCATTGCCATAACGAGGGCTACTCTTCCTGGGGTCCACAATAAATCAATCAATCGCATAAAAAATTAAAATGAGCTTGATCATTTCCATATTTTTGGAAGGTCAGTTTTGTTTACATGCACATAGTAATCCATTTTTCTCGTGGTTTGGCTGTCTGTGGTTTCCATTTCTGTTTTATTCATTGTTTTTGGTTGGTTATTTTACATATTTAAAATATCTTTCAGTTCCAGTATTAAGTGTTCTTTATGAAATTAAAGTTTATTGGTCTTTAATGCTGTCATGCCATTATCAAAACATGACTGAAAAATGGTCTCATAAAACTGGGACAATTTATCAGTCAGCAAAATCATCATGATAAAGGCTTTATGTCTCCAGATCATCTGCCCTCATAGCGCCAACCCAGACATTTTCCTGATTTAAGTGAAAAAATCCACTTGTAGAACTTACACTTTTACAAATAATAACTCAAAACAAGCTGCTATGACTTGCAGAAAAATCACTTGAAAGTTATTTTTGTTTAATTTCAAGTGTGCCATAATATCAGAACTGGATTCTAAAGCAAATACTTTGTATTATTTTGTATTTTTTTCAGTGTTGTCCAGTTTATTATTATTATTATTATTATTATTATTATTATTATTATTATTATTATTATTATTATGAAGGTCTGCACTCAACCATGACAGTTAGAGGTACATGTGGAAGCGCCAGGTTCTGGTCCAGTTTAGCAGCACTCAGACCCAGCCGCCCATGTAATGTAAAACCAGATCTAGTTCATCAGACTGGGGAGAACAGTGTTCTCCCCATTCTGTTGACTGAGCAGAGTGATCTGAGCGCAGACAGCGCCGGGCCCAGCGAACAGCACCGCACAGAGTTCTGACACCTTTCCAAGTGAATCAGCACTTTGAGTTGCAGCTGAGGAACAGGCTGGGTTTCTGCTAAGGAAGAGATGAAAAAGGCAAAGGAGGGAGACTTTATGTGGTCCAACGTTTAAATTCTGAATCTCCGGGGTGATGGAGGAAGCGAATCCTTAAATATGCAGCAATATGTTAGAGTTTAAAATTGTTTGCATTATGAGTCAAAAACAACCTCAGTCCGATCAGGATTCCCTTATGAGATATCTGGGAATCACTTTGGGTGCAGAAAGGTTTTCAGTAAAAATCTCTGGATAAACATGGCAAGGTGGGACTGAACAGGACGTCGATGGTTCACTCCCTCAAGTCAGTGGTCGTAATGTTATGGCTGATTGAATGACATGCTCAGAAAATGCAGGTCAGAGTTGCCACTCTGCAAGCTGGTGGGATCTGAAGGCTGAATGAATGTTAACGTGTCCAAAACAAACCTGATATCATCAGCTGGCTGTCATCCAGCGAAGAGACTGGTGAGATTATGAAAAAAAACAAAAAAAAACATCTCACTTTCATGTCATTGTTTTAGTCGGCATGTTGTGTTTTTTGTTGATGTTCAGAGATTATCAGGATTTTATTCTGGTGGAAAGAGTTTCATTCATCTGTCTGGCTTTCACCAAGCTTCCCTCTCCACCTGAAAACAGCTTGTGATTTTATTTTGTACTTCTTCTCTCATTTCTGTGAAGTGATGCCTTCTTATCAAAGCAATAGACTTGCTACAGTGTTAGAAAGACCTGGACCTCACACCAACACACACACACACACCTTGCGAACTGTACAGGTTGAAACAAAATGCACAGACAATCAGACGGAGGAGGACGCAAAGGTGCCCAAACTCAGGTAGCCCAACCTGAAATGCAGGGTTTGGCCATGCTGAGCCACAGGGGTTTGGGGAAGCAGCACTGACCACCTTTACGTGCACACCCGCCTACTGTCACTAATAAGAAACTTTATTTCAAACTCCACATAATGACTTTGTACGTAGAGGGTCCATCTGTAGTCTGACCTGTTGATACAAACAGATTCTACGTCGTATGACCCTCTTCAACCAAAAACGTCCAGGAAGTAAACTCAGGGAACTAAACAACCCCCAGGTCTCCCCTCATTTTTATTATTTCTGAGCCCCTTTTTATATTTATTTAATAGATTGTTAAAGTTCACTAAAGAAGACAGACAACTCTAACATGTTCTACTGATGATCCAACATGGATTCAGAATTGTCTTATGAAAGAGAATAAGCATGATTTCAGGAAAAAATACACATTACACTGTCTGGTTATGATGCAAAACCAATGGATGTAGCATTTAGTGTTAAATATTGTTAGCAATATAAGTCCATAATACATTTCCCTTCATTTTAAGAGTTCAAACACAAAAGGAACATGTTTTAAAATATATATATATTTACAAATAAAAAATATAACACTAAACCATAAGAAGAGCTAATAATTAAATCAACTGCAGTTTTCACTATGTCTGTTCGTATTCAATACGGCCGGTGAGCGGCCATATTGGATACAAAACCGGTCTGTCCAGTGAGCTTTCTCTTTCCCTGTCATTGGAGGCAGAAGGGAATGGTGTGTAAATGAGTAACCATAGAAACCAGGAGTTTGTGTTTTTTCAAATTACAAAAGTTTATGAGACTCAAAGCATTTTGAAACTTCTTGGGATGTTAGCTGTTAGCTTCCTCTGTGTCTTCCAGTCTGGTCCTATCTAGTTACTGTATCAATCTAATGGGAACCAAATACACACTTTTTATCAGTCAACGTTAATTAATATATAAATTAATCAGAGATCTGTTCTTTGTCATGTTAACACATGTTAAACATGTCAGGTGGACAGTATTATCACTGTAATGCATAAACATTGTGTTTTAAAAAGTTTCTTCCTGGGTTAAAGCAAAGTAGCAGCAGCCATGATGCTATGATATAATGCTAATAGTTATCATTAGCATTAACATCTGAGTATTGAATATTACTCAGTTTGACACTCAGGAGCTTCGAGGTGTGTGTTAGCACAATGCAAATGAAAAACACACCTGAAGTAGCAACTGATGCCATGGATCAAAACGTGTTCGTAAATGTTTAGAAAGCAATTTCCAAACTATGTCATCATTGTAAAGAAACACGGAATTATCACAACTTGATGTTAAAGTTGAATCCATTGCAACAGATTCCACTGCAAGCATTCTGGCAGAACCTCCTCAGGATCTGCTTTGTTCTGTTGGACGAATCAGAAACTAAGTCTTTAGGCCGCAGTCAGCATGTTCTCTGTCAAAGTATGACATGTTTGGAATAGTTCTTTGCAGAAAGTCTTTTCTGAGACATGCAGACATGCATAATGAAGTTACTAAGGCCTTGTGAAAGTTCAGACCTCTACCAAAGTCAAAAGTGTAATGACCACATCTGAATTTAGCTGTGAAAAAACAAGAATGCCTTCAGTTGTCAATATTCCATCTATCAACAGTCAGGTTTGACGTGACGGTGTCACCTCACGTCACCAAATATGTTGAGAGCAACAGAAGGCTGCTGGATCAGTCCTGACTAAACACTAAGGATGTGTGTAATTCGTGTGTTCCCAGCCTGGTTTGGGCATTTCCAGACTCCTGAGTCAAACTCAGTGTGGTTGAGGTTCAAATCAAACATGAACGTCACAAGATTTTTTTTAAACTGGATTTTTTTTTTTTTTTTTAACACTTCTGCAGACTTTTGTCTTAAAGCAGAAGCCCTACTGGACGACCTCAATTTATTTAAAAACTGTTTCTTGAGTGTTTAACTCTGTGGGAAGACCTCATATTGCTCGCCGTATTTAGCTTGGTTAGTGGTTTCTGAAACCAAAGCTGGAAAACACTTTGGATAATTTCCAGTTGGGATTCCGAGATAAATGACTCGAGGATGCTTTGAGTCATTCCAACACTGAGTCTGTTTTTATTCAGATCTCAAACTTTTTATTTCAGTAAATCATAGTAAAACAGATTTTAACAGTTCAGTTAAAACCATAATGAGTTTCCTCTCTCTTTTCTTTTTTTTTGTCTTTTTTAAAATGTCTATTGAGAATTATCAAAGGTTCCATAAACAACAAAATAGTTCAACTGATTGTCTCCAAATGTTACACTCTTGCTCTGCTGTTTTGTCCCTGTCAGGAGGACGGAAGCAGCTGAAAGTCCAACTTTCTGTTTCCAAATGAATCTCTAGGAAAGGCAGAACAACCAAACCTGACGATTTCCTCCAGACACAAACTCAGTTCTGGTTTTAGAACCTGAGCCCGTTTTCCTTTGCTACATGTTCTCATTGTCGGTGCACATAAATGTCGTCAGTGCTGACGAAACCGGTGCCTGTTCACTGTTCTCTCTCCCCACTTGTTCTTCTTAAGGTTACTCAGTCACAAACCAATCACAAGACTTGCACCATAGAAAAGCTTTTTTTTACAGTACAGTTGAAATAGGATGTATATTTTCAGACTGCAGATTTTTTTTAACGTTAGCATAAGATGAACATGGTATTGTTTTTGCGTAGTATTGGCAAAGTGATTGCTCTCGTGCTGACCCAACATCACGGCAGAGGAACTGAGCAAAGCAGCTAAAATCATAAAATGTTAGTGCAGCATTAGTTGTTTGGTAACATCCATATTACAGGACTGCAGCTGGACTTCACTGTCAGTACAAAATGCAGCAACTACACTTGCCCACAATTGTAGGAGAACCTCTGGATCCTGTTAGCTCAGACGTCCCTCCTTTGTTCCTTGTATGACCCGTTCTACACTGACTGGAAGAGAAAGGCAGTGATGGTGCGAATGAATTGGTTTTACTGGAACCGTCCTCTGGTAATCAGCTTCCCAGCGGTCGTACATGGATACAGAGGACCTGGGGAAGGTTTTGAAATGCACACAATGAATGATGGTTGCAAGTAATGTGAACTGGCTCTTGAGAATAAACATGGTTTTAAGAGTTTTGTCTTTGCATGTTTTATTCATCTCTTGTCATTTTCTGCGTGAAATGAATAATCTTAATGTCAGACCTTCAGTATTAGATACATAATCCATATTTGATTCAAATTACATTTAACAATGTATTAAATCAGTTTACTGTTGTTATAACAAACTGTCTAATTAATAAGGATTGTTTTTCAAACTGAGTCCTCAGAAAATACTCCTCTGTGCACCATCCAGCACTCAGCCAGAGCCCTATTTAAGGCTGAAGTCCAGTGAAAGGTCCAGTCTGCTGCCAGCGTGATGTTGGGCTTGTAAGGGTAATGAAGTTTGATCATGTGGATAAGAGCCCTGGATCACGTACCAGAGAAGAGAAAAAACTTCGGTTAATGAAATTTGTTAATATAAAAAACATTAGACATCAGATATTTAGTTATTGAGCTACTTCTAGTTGCTTTTCACAGTCCCTGTAGTTGTTGAGCAAAACTACATGTAGAAACTCTGAATTTAGTCATACTTCCTGATCCGCTTCAAAATCCATTTATACACACATATATTAATGCTTGTTTTGCAAAAGTTTTACTTCTGTTATGCATGTAATCAGTATTCAAGTTTTTGAAAATGATGAAGTTATAGTCCATTTCATTTGTAATAACAGCTACATTGATGGAGATATAATAAACATACCATGCATCACTTCATACCTGCTGATGCTTAGGACTAATGTTGAATCTGACAAGTGGTCTTGCTTTTAGAGCTCATCGACCCTGGACATGAACTCAGTGTGTTCTGGTTCTGGTGCCTCTGGTGCTGCAGAGGTCAGCGACTCACCGCAGGACATTCTGGTCCTCCGGATATGTTCAGGATCATCTGCTTGGCCCGATCCACTCTGAGATCCTGTGATGACACCATGTCACCAGATGTGACACCTTCCTTCTTATCCCGTCGGTAGTCATCCTTAGGTGTCATCCACACATCTCAGAGTTATGTTGTCCTCACGTGTCGCACGGTCTTATGAAAGAACTGTGTGTCTGACGTTTCATAACATGTCGTCTCTGGAACACGATGATGGGTGCTGGCCTTGAACCACACGATACAGCTGGTTCTGGAGAACCTCTTCAGAATCCTCTGGCCAGGTTTTGTGGACCTACAGACAGGTCAGTCCTTTTCAAAATGATCAGCTGGTGATACAGAAGTAGTGGAGTTTTATAGTTTAGTTGTGTCACCGTCTGTGATGTAGTGTGTCAAACATCAGCTACAGAGCTTTGATCCTGCAAATTTGGGGAATGACTGTAAATTGAAAAATTAAACGATGCTTTGGTACACTTTTTGTATTTTGTCTACACACTTGTTTCCCTCTCGGCGGTGCCGACAGCTGCTCTGCATGGAGCGACTAAAGACCTTCAGCTTTTCTTTTCTCATCTCCACAGCAGAGGGGAGATTTATCTTGTTCCACCAGCAAATGATAATTTTGTGCTTCTTATATTACCATCGTTTAAATATGAAGTACTTTAAATATGAAGTACTAGTTATAATTTTTTATGAGACAAAATTTCTTAGTGCAAGTTTTTTGCAGCTTGAGGTGTTTTATTTAGCAGCACCTCATTGAATGGAACAGGTTGATGACCTGTGGTATGAAGACGGTATGAAGACTGTGGTAAGAAGACGCTTTTGTATGTGTGCATCTGCCTCAGTGATAGGCATCGTTGATGTATCAACTTATGTTATTGAACATCATTTCATATTTTATTGAATATTTCCTGAATTTCTAGCATTGCTAATCATTCTTTTCTATTTTCTTAAGTCATTCAGAAAAACAGACATAAAAAGCCCAGATCATGTGGAATCTGCACATTCTTAGCTCTGAATATTTTTTGCAGCAACCTTCACAAGCTCTTTGCAGTCTGGGTCAATGTTTGGACTTTTGTTCCAAACTAACTTACTAAATTTCTTACTTGAAGGCTGTGAAAACCCAACTGCCCCTGGTTGGCTCTTTGGAGTCAGAGCAGCACTGACGCCCTCTGCTGATGCATTAGAAAACTACCTCTGGCGGCACGCTGAATCTTCAATGTTCTTATATGAGAAAAGTCATTAGTAATTGATACTCGACACAGAAACACTTCACCTCACTTATAAAATTTATTTTTATAGATAGTCATCTATATATGGTCATGTATAACAGTACATATTTAGATTCCATACATACTTTCTATTGAAATTGGTTTCTTGCGACTCATTCCACACGCTGACAGAAGCTCTGGATATTAAAAACTAAATGATGTGAACACCAGCAGCTCTGACAGCTCAGTCACTTCACTAATACTACAGTCAGGTTCTACCCAACAGGTCAGAGCCCAGTCAGCCACTGGGAGCCGCTGGTGTCTGCAGTAACTTCTCAGTAGCTGAGAATCCATCAGATATCAGATTAGTCACTTAGATCAGAATACAATAGAACATGAACAACAACACGAGGGTCAAATAAGACGTCATTCAGTTTCAGCTACATTCTCTCTTCTGTGATGGCCCCTTGGAAAGCCTGAGCGCCTCCATGACATTCAGAGTGGTGTAAGCCACTGGAAACCACTACTACTCTGCCCATGTCAAACAAAGCAGTCACATATTGCACTATGAATGCAGAAACCTCAGTCACAAGACAGAAAAGTGCTTCTAAGCGCTGTACAGCTGCTACACACAAACACAACACATGGAGGTGGCGTGGCGCGGTGCGGCGGCGTCAGCCTACAGTACGGCATGGGGATGCACAGCTGCCGGGGCCGGGGCCCATTCAGGCTGTGCCAGAGTTCAGGAATGGACCTTGAAGGCCAGCAGCTGCTCAGAGTGCATGTTGTTGAGGGAGCGCAGGTCGGGCAGCTTCAGCAGCAGCTTGGTGAAGATGGCCGACTCATTGGGGTGGTTCCTGGTGATGAGGCTCCGCAGCGCACGGATCAGCGTCTCCTGCAGCGCCTCCACAGAGTTCACGTTCTCAATGCCGGAGCGGTCTGCGGGGAGACGGGGTGCAGAGACGTTCAGACACATAGACTGGCTGAAACACGACTAGCCACACCTGATCATTTCATCAATTCAGTACAGAAACCTTTAAAATTCAAAGAGCCATTTCTGCTAAATCAAGTGAGTTTAGAGCCAGATATGCTGCCTGACCTTTAGAATAAAAAATAACTTAGAATTTTTGGTACATTTATTCTGCAAGAAATCTGTTGTCATTTTCAAACAACCACAGTTTTTAGTCCTATTTCTAGGTAACATTTTTTCATATGGGATGCTGACATTTACACAAAGCTTCCAGTCTAACAGATAGATCCACATTAAAATGACTCCCACTTTTAGGGTCATTTATGAAAATTAAATGCAATTATTCTGGGAAAATCTGACTTTATCTAAAATTATCTAAAATTTCAGTTGTTTATCATTTATAGTCAAAGGCCCAAAAAGCCAGTTGTGGCTCTGGCGTCTCTGGGTTTTCCGTGGGGTGATCTACGTATTTTGGACCACAGAACTTATATATATTTCATTGATGTGTCTCCTTTCTCTGCTGGACATGTTCCTAAACAGTCGCCATGGTTGTAATAGTGATTATAAGCACTAACATCTATGAATTACACAAGTGTGGACACAGCTAACAGTTAGCTAAGCCACTATGGGGACAGCTAACTTTTTAGTGATCACCATTTATTCGCTAAACAGCTACGCTAACACTATAACCACTAAACACATTTTAAAAGAAATTAGCTGACACCAACACTAAAATACAATAAAAATGAGCTCAAGTTAAAACTAATCTGCTAAGCACAAAATATCACAAAATATCAGCTGACATTAAATCTAAACAGCTAAACACATTAAAACTTTTTTTTTATGTTTTTCGAAGAAACCATTGAGAGGACTGGGTCTTTCGCAACCTCTTAAAAGTGTTTTCTTTTTCTCAAAATTACTGCATTTCCATTAAAAACATTTATTTTCATAATTCCAATTTGCACAATTTTATGCTAAATAGAAACGCAGCTCCAAACATAAAAACTTGATGGCAGCTACTGTTGAATATTTTTAGACCTTTTATTTTATAAATAAAAACATTGCCTGAAATCATCTGAATAGGTGTGGGACCCTCTGGATCCGACTATTTTGTCGATTTGAATCTTTATAACGTAACTAAAAGGAGCAGCAGAGTGAAGGGACCCACCGGCTGACACCAGGACCACGGCCATGAACAGGCTCATCTCCTCCTCGCTCAGCCCCAGGTTCATCAGCTTCTCACAGAAGTCAAACATGGAGCTGAGTAGGTCCCCGGAGCCCATGGTCCTCAGAGCGTCCACGCTGTACTTCTGTCCCCCTAAGAAGGTAACGGCGCGCTCCTTCACATGGAACAGCGAGGCGAAGCGGACCACCAGCACCTGCAGGACAGGAAAGGCTGTTTCGATTCTATTTGTAACCCTGAGGGACAGGCAGATGGGGGGTAGAGGGGACAGGACGTACCTCAAAGGTGCCAGCCTTCAGCAGGCTGACCTGGTCATGCTGGGACAGCTCCCTGAAGCCAGGGATCTTCTTGGCGAACTCCACTACCTCCCTGACGGCGGGGGTGAAGCTGTGGGAGAACTCCTCCCACACATCCTGGCCCGACTTATGTGGGTCCACTTGAGGGGACATGTTCATTGGACAGACCTGCAGACAGACAACCAATTAGGACTCAACAGGACTGGGACAAACCAGAGACCCTAAGCGTTCTCCACTGTGTCTCCACACACGTAAATGAGCGGTAGTGAGACAACACACATGAAGGACAGCTGCGCTCTGTCCCAGTGCCATGCTGTACCCGTCTTACCAGGTACATTCTGCTGCCTCCTCTCCAGGCAACCCCGCTGTAGACGCCGCCGGGGCAGGGCTCAGTGGGCGGAGTTCTGACGACTCCATGTATGTAGGCGGGGCTGTGGCTGGCGCCAGCGCTGCGAGACGCTCTGATTGGACACTGGTTGTCCAGCTGGCTGTGAGGCTGTCCCAGGATGG